TCTGTTCTCTGGTTTGATAATAGTAGTCTTGTGTAATTCAATTTAGGAACATTTTCAGCTTCTCAGTGTCATGTTTGATCAAGTCAACTTGTAGGATGTAGGACACTGGAAATGTTAATTTGACATTTATATCATCTTGTTGTTTGTTGGTATGTATGTCGTTGGACCTGTTGTAAATGCTTGTGATTTTAGTGGTTTGTTTAGAAGATCTACAATCTTGTGACAACATAAAGAAGGTGTACCTGCATTTGTCTAGGAAAGGGCTTCTTTTGAATCAAATTACAGCATGAACTTGTGATTTTGTCTCGGCGGCTGAACTGCATCCTTTTATCACAGAGCCTATGTTTGTGGATTTTGAAGTTACTATATTATATTGTACTTGTCTGAGTTTGAGATCGACTTAATTGTATTAAGCTTAATAGTGGTGTACAATAGGGCATTGCGAAAATTCGAATTGAGAGCACTCAAAATGCCAAACTTAGGCTGAATTGATTTGGAAGTATCAACATAATAGTTAAATTGTTTTTAAATATATAAAAACAACATTATCTTTCGAACAAATTAAAAGTATATCACATACGATGACGAGGGAGAGTGGAATATACGGGTAATTAGAGCTTTAGGAAAAAGTTGATCCAGAAATTATTATAGAATGGTATTTCAATTTTCAGGTGAGGCAGAAATTATGCTAAGTAATCTTGATTAGTGAACCGGTCGACACAAGAGATGTGGATTCTATTTTATGATATGATGTCTTCCACTGAAGATAAAAAGAGACGAAAAAAGATAAATAGAAGAAGGGAGTGCTCTCTCGAAGGAAAGGGTGCAGAGGTATCTTCTTGCCTACTTTTCTTTTATCTCCTTTTTCCTAGAAAAATTAAATATGTTTAAAAGTTTAAATAAATTCTAAGCACCTAAACCTAATTTTTATGATAAATATAACAATTACTAATTTAAGAAAAGAAATACTAGTATATACTTATTCAATCGTTGCATGATGTAAGCAACTTTATACTAGCTAGATTTCTAGTTCACTTGAGGTATCAAGATTTAGAGGATGTCTTAATATACTCTTACATTCTCTTTTGTTTGTTTGTATGTACCTCTGATCGCCCATAATTAAATACTTACTATAAATTGGTCATTATCTCCCACAATTTGTATTAGGGGTGTACATAGGTCGGATTGGTTCGGATTTTACAATTACCAAATCAAATAAATTGTGTCGGGTTAATAAATTTAAAGACCAAATCAAACCAATAAAAAACTCGGGTTTTTCAATCTCGGTTTTTCTCGGGTTATTCGGATTTTTCGGATTTTTTCCCGGTAAAATCTTCGTAGAACAAAACATATAACGTATGCTCAAAATATTTCTTTGATCCTAGTAAGATACAACTATACAAAGTACTTTCCAAGAACATAATATAAAATATGAGATGTGTCATGGCATTATCCTAAAATATTCAACAATAAAGACAATAAAATTATGTAATATAAATATTGCTAATTAAAAAGC